GAACCAGTGTCACAGATCAAACACCTGCCTGGCCATTAATACTGCAGCTGAGTCAGGAACATTCTCCAGGGAGAGGACCACGTCCCAATTTGATATGCTGAAACTGCAGCCATTTTGTGTGCACGTGGAAGGTGATGTTTTAAGTCAGTGCCTTTCTTCCGAGGGAAAGCAGTACATCCAAGGAGGAGGATGATGTCTGCCTCAGCCGAGATTCTTCCCCTCGGTCCTGCAGTGTATATTAATAGGACCACCTACTGTTGGCACCACCTGTTGAAATAAAGATGGTTAAAGCCTGGCCCTGGAGTGGATTTGCTTCTCCACACACACATCTTTGCCGGAGAGTCCCCCTGCCTCCACCTCCTTCTCCCTACTCATCCCCTACAGCCTACCTGCAAGAGAGGGAGGAGGCATGAAAGAAGATGGCCATTTGGGAATGAATGGTCCAAAGGAGTGGTTCTCAAAAATGGTCCCTGGACCAGTAGCATCAGCTTCACCTGGGAATTTATTAAAAATGCAAATTCTCTGGGCCCATCCCAGACCTATTGAGTCAGAAACGCCGGAGGTGTGGCCCAGCAACCTGTGTTTCAATGAGCTATTGGAGGTGTTTTTTAATGGAAACAGACTCTTCCACTACTTTTGTACGTCTCCCCAACCCTCAGCCCAGTACACTTTACAAACAGCTAGTACCAAATGAAGCTTTTCCTAAAGTATTTGCAGACTTAAATTTAACAAATTCAATTTTGTAACCACCAAAGACACTGCTAGTGGGCATAAAGACAAAGAACTATGACAGATTTTCCCAGAGGTTAGATGAGAAAGGATGCACTAAGCAACAATCTGAGAGGAGGCGGAGATCAACAAGCACATGCTATGACCGCACATACACAGTCTGACAACACCAGTGGTTCTCAAATTTTCGGATGTACCAGAATCACTTGGAGGGTCGCTAAACCACAGATTGCGGGCCACACCCTCAGAGGGTCTGATTTAGTGGGTCTGGGTGGGCTCCAGAATTTGCACTTCTGCCAAGTTCCCGGTAATGCTGTTGCTGCTGGTCTGAGGATCACATCGTGGGCAGCACAGCTCTGAAGCCTTGAGTCTCCTCACATCAGCAGCACCTGGGAACTTGCTAGGAATGCAGGATCTCAGGCCAGGCCCCAGACCCACTGAATCTGAGTCTGCATTTTAATGCCATCTCCAGGGGATTCGCGTGCACAATTGCTGTTGAGAGCGTGGCATTAAAGGCCACTAACAGAACTTGACACCCTGGAATCCACAGCCCTAACGCTCTCCTCAGAGCCCTAGAGAGGAGTCTCTGCTTACGGCCTCCCCAAAATGTCCCTCCTCCCACCCAGTCACAGGAGGCATAGCTGGGGGTAGGGAAGCAATTCTTCAAAAGGGGCTCCTTTTCAACAGTTTTAAACTCAGTATGATAATGGTTGTTGGCAACTGAAGAAAAGATGGACGAAAGCTGGCTAAAAGCCGGCAGCCAGAGCATGGTGAGACTCGGAGACCCCTCTAACTGGGACAGTCAGCATTTTGATATGTTCTCTTGACGATGGAGGGCTCCCAGCCACTACCCCAGACACTGGCTGCTATAGAAACTGGCCACTTCCTAGTGTCACTGCGGGAAAAATAGTGCCTTCAGGTGGCCAGGAGCAACTCCCCCTCCCCCTTATCCCTGCTCCAGCTCCCCAAGCCACTGAGTCTAGGGCTCAAAGCCTTGCAGGCCCCCAAGCAGAGCGAGGAGGCAGTCCCTTCTCCCTGGGACCATCGCCCAGCTCAGACTTCGCCCAGCACGAACCCCCTTGCAGGATGACCTGAGATGGGGTACGTCTCTACCCTTCAGGTTGTTCTCATGCTTCCTTGGCCTCAGAAAGACAATAACAAAGTCATTTCATATTGGCAAATTTGGAACGGCAAAATAGCTCAACAGAGGGCTGAAGAGGCTTGGTGACACAAACTAGTGGAAGTTACATCTCAAAGAATGCATTCTCAACAAAGCAGACCAGAAGACTTCCTACTGGGGGTTCTTCAGAAAACATCCGGGCCACCAGGCGGCACAACTCCAGGGAGCGCTGTGCACAGAATACTACATGAATGGGACCCCCTGATGCTGCTCAACACAAAGGCCCTGGTGAGTGTAGCATCTTAAGTCTAACCAGTTCTTTGGGAAGACACGCCTTAGGTCAGAGATGACGATTTTGTGACACCATGAGGGCCTGCCACATCTCAAGAAATCCCAAGTGTGGGATTTCCCAAGCCTCTTACACCCTCAACCATGTTGTCCTGAAACTCCCACAAAATTACATTGCTGTTGGATAAACCGTTACATACAGTTCAAGATTTGGGTACAATTTCTTACAGTGTCACCAGCATCCTCTTGCTACAATATCTGCAAGTTATGTAATAACAACCAGGCATTACACAGATACAGATGAGTTACAGCTCTGAAATGATGGCCAGTGTGCAAGCAGGCGTATCAGTCATCCACTAGTCTAGAAGAGTCTGAGCATGGCAGGCCTGGCCAGGGCTGGCCACCAGGGTCGGAGGAGAAGTGAGCATGTAGATATGGCAATGGGGGCCCTTGGGCTTTATTCTCAGCACCACTGCCAGTCCACTTATGCATAAATATCCTTAGTTAGTTGGCATTTTCCAAGATATCAGAGAAAAGCAACCACTTCTTTCCAGGAACTTCTAAACTAAAGGTAGGACATTAAGTAAGAAACTGGTTTCTTAGCAACCTAGTCCAGAATGTGATTTCAGGAGAAAAAGAGTTCGTTCTGGTAAAAAATATTTCTTTACGGTTTCAATTATTAAAAACTGTATCACATTACAACCCTTGGGAAATTTAGTTTGCCTTTAAGAAAAAGTCAAACCAAACAGCAAAAGTAACAGATGGAATGTTACATAAGATACGGGTCCAGGGGAAATGAATACACACAGGAGAAACAGAGCCAAATGATTTCCATTGATTTGTGTTCATTGTTTTGCATCAACCATCGTCAAAATCCTAGACATAAACTTTGTAAGACATTTGGAAATGGCCTTACCAGTGCTACTTGGTCTCAAGGTAAGAGGAAGAAACTATTAAGCAATACATTTTCTCTTGAGATAAATCTATATTGGGGGCAGTTTTCAGATTGTTGGTGAACTCACCTTCATTCATTGGATTGTGTTGGCAAAGGTTTAAAAGCTGTGAAAATCCCATCATTAAAGGAAAGCACATTTTTCATGGATTTTTCTAGACACAGTTTCTCGGTGGCTTACTGAGTTTTGGGCTAGCTCTTGTATTTGTTTTCTGTGACTGCATAACAAATTGCCACAGACCTAGCAGCTTAAAACAGCACAAATTTCTTATCTCAGTTTCCATGGGTCAGGAGTCCAGAATAGACTGACCTAGGTTCTTGGCTCAGGATCCCACAGGCTGAAATCAAGATGCCAGCCAGCTGCATCCTCATCTGGAGACTCAACTGGGGAAAAATCCACTTCCAATCTCTCTCAGTGTGTTGACATAATTCATTTCCTTGCAGCCAAATGACTGAAGTCCCCATTTTCTTGGCAACTGACAACAGGAGACCACTCTAGCAACTAGAGACCACTCTAAGGCGCTTGCCATGTGGCCCATCATAGACAGTTCACTGTTGTTACTGTTTACTCTTCAAGGCCAGCAGGAGAATCTCTCTCCCACTTCAAATCTCTTTTAACCTCTTTTAAAGCCTCACCTGATTAGGTCAGACCCACTCAGGATAATCTCCCTTTTTATCAACTCAAAGTCAGCTAATTAGGGACCTTAATTACATCTGCAAAATCTCTTATGTTATATAACATAATAATTGTTAAGAGTGACAGCCTATCATATTTACAAGTCTTGTTGACACTCAAGGGGAGGGGTTTTACAGGCATGTATCCAAAGGGGTAGGAATCTCAGAGGCCATCTTAGAATTCAGCCCACCATAGCCTCTCACTCGCTGTGTCCCATAGGTTCTGATCTATGGATTGGGGAGAATACTCCATTTTTAAGAATGTTGTCAGTTTTACATGTGTACTTTTCATTCATTAGAGAAAACTACCGCCACATGTTATGTTCATATTTCATACTCATCGGGCTCCACTGTGGTCGAGCCCGTGTCCCAAGTCCCTGTCCACTGTGGAAGCTTATGATAAGGAACTCTGATGCAGCTCCCCGTTACTGCATCCATAAAGTGCTTTTTAAAATTTTACCATATAACTTCAGTATCTGTTCAACCATCTAGTGTGGTTGAAAGCACTTAGAGGGGCTGCTTTATAGTGGATCCACCTGGAGACCTGCACTCAGCAGATTTGGGGCTCGCGCTCTCTGTAACCCAGCCCTCCAAGAGATCAGAGCATGGTAAACACATGCCGAGTTCCAAATGATGGGGTAACAGCCACTGTTGGCACCTGAGATCCTAGGTGGTAGACAGGTAGTACTGTTTTTAATTGAGAATTTATTTTAATATGTTTTAGAAAAATATATAACTATTCAAACCCATGATTTTAGGGCATAAGCACGGCTAAAGTAGGAATTGAAGTTTTTTTGTTAGTTGATTTGAGAAAAATATCTTTAAAATAGTACAAGTGGCTAGGACATGGCGAAAATCGTGATAGTATTACTCCGATTTAGGAAACACTGGCATATTCGAAACTGGTGACGAAGTGGTGAACTAGTGAGTTCAGTAAGTATTGAATAAATTATGCCAAGTGAGTCAAAGCTCCATGAGCCCCTTCTTTCTCACCAGCGTCTACAGAAGCCCACAACTCGCCAAACCCACCACCAGCGGGCAGTCGAGGGTCTGGGATACACGCCCCACAAAACAAGTCTCAAACCACTCAGGCTACGCGGAGCGGAAGGCGGGAGTGTGAGGGGAGGAGGTGGGGCCTGGCGGGGGCGTGGCCAATCCACCTGAGGCCGGCGTGCGGGGGCGCGGCTGGCGAGGGGCGGGTCCTCGCGGCGGAAGGCGGAAGCTGCTGCAGCGTCACGTGACCTGAGTAACATGGCCGCTGCCCCTTAAGCACGGCGGGTGCTGGGCGGGAGCGGGTCGCGTGAGCCGTTAGGCGGCTTGGGGCAGGCGTGCGGTGACGGAGTCCGGGTCCGGGTTCCGAGGCGGCGCGCGGCGGCGGAGCGAGCCAGTCGGGCCCGGAGTGGCGTGGTCCATGAGCCGGCGCCGGAGGAAGCGCAGAGCCGCAGACTCCCCTGGCCCCAGCGCGGCCCGGGCAGCTGCGGGCTGAGGAGTCGCGGGGCTCCGGTGGGCGCCCCGAGCTGCCACCATGAACCCCGAGAAAGACTTCGCGCCGCTCACGCCCAACATCGTGCGCGCCCTCAATGACAAGCTCTACGAAAAGCGGAAGGTGGCAGCGCTGGAGATTGAGAAGTAAGAGCCGCCGTCACCCGGGGTTGGGCTTGGGGAGCAGAGCTGGGACCCCGCCCTGGCTATGCGAGGGTCCTCCACCCCGGGGGAACTCCTCACGCCTTTCCAGACAGTGTTGCTTCTCCAGGTTTCAGGCCCTTAGCGCAACGCTTGAGAGCAAGAGATTGGGAGTCCCAGCTTTGCTTCTAACTGACCGTGTGCCTTGGGCCAATTTCTTTAACCTCCTGGTGCTCCAAAGGGTTGCTGTGAGAATGAAGTGACATAATGTGTGTATAGTGTAGGGCTGCCGTGAGAATAAAGCGACATAATGCATGTTTAGCCCTTAACACAGTGCCTGGCACATGCTGCGTCCTCGTTGTGGTCTCCATCAAAAGTAGCAAATCAGAGAGTGGACTCTGATGGAAGGGAAGTGGACAGCTTGAGAATTTGCTAATGTTGTTGACCTGCCTCACTTCTTGCCCCAGCTTCTGAGAGGTGAAAGGGACTGTTAGGTGACCCAGTGGAGAAATCAGATTTGAAACCTCAAGATCTCAAGGCTCAGAGGACTGTTTGTTTTATCTCTGTCATATCACCCTTCCCTGCAAGTGGAAGTAGGAATAATTTGACCTTTCTTGCTTCCTCGGTCTTATTACATGTATGTCTAACTAAGATCTGACATTTTGCTTTACTTCACGATGTACAAAAGAGGGTGTTTAAGAGCCAGCCCTGATGGCCTAGCAGTTAAAGTTTGGCGCAGTCTGCTTGGCAGCTGGGGTTCAGTTCCCAGGCGTGGAACCACACTGTTCGTTTGTTAGTAGCCATGCTGTGGTGGTGGCTCACACAGCAGAACTAGAAGGATTTACAACTAAGATATACAACTGTGTACTGGGGCTTTGGGGAGAAAAAAAGAGAGAGAGAGGAAGATTGGCAACAGATGTTAGCGCAGGGTGAATCTGTCCCAGCAAAAAAAAAAAAAAAAAAAGATGTTTAACTAGGAATGTTTTATTAAGATTTTCCTACTATTATTTTACATTTGATTTTTTCCAGTCACATCTTTGTGATAAAGTCATGTGTGATAAAATCATGTGGGTAATTTCAGAAGAGTGGAAAGAAGCAGGCTGTGAAAATGGAAGAATGCCAGTCTGGGAGTCAGGAAGTATGAGTTGTAGTTCTGCTTTGTCCAATAGGGTAGCCACTGGCCATGCATGGCTGTTTACATTTAAATTATTAAAGATAAAATAAAAATTTAAAATCCAGTTCCTCAGTCGCACTACTCGTATTTCAGATGTTCAATAGCCACATCTGGCTACTATAATGGACAGTGCAGATTTTAGAACATTTCCATCACTGTAGAATGTTCTGTTTGACAACTCTAATGTAGTCCATGGTGTGACACTCATTCTTTGACGCTGGGCAAATTCCTTTCTTCAGGGTTTCTTAACCTCAGCACTGTTGACATTTTGGGACAGATAATTCTTGGTTGTGGTGGGCTGTCCTGTGCATTGTAGGGTTTTTAGCAGCATCCTTGGTCTGTATCCACTAGATACTAGTAGCATTCCATCAGTTCTAACAACCAAAACTGTCTTCAGACGTTGTCAAACGTCCTCTGGGGAGCGCAAAATCAGCGTATCGAGAACCACTGCCTTAACTGCTTCGGGTTTTAGTTTTCTCCTCAACTGAGGGGTTGACTGAACTTTGCTAGGAGGACCCTCGCGTTCAGCTCTAACATTCAATATGTCCAAAACCATCTAGCTTCTCTCATCAAGCACTACTTTCTTGACTGCTTTCTTTTGATACTGCTGCTTTTTTATACCCTGGCTCTCACTAATGCTGGCAAGTCTTACTGATGGGCATCACTGTACGGTGTAGGAGACCCAGAGCTGATGTACAGATGTGGCTCCATGTCCGTGGGTTTTACTGGCTTTGAAGCTACATTGACACCCAGTTTTGTCCATCCCCCACTCTGTTTCTCAGTAATGTCTGGTTTTATCATAGCTTGAGTCATCTGTTGAGTCCTTTAACAGAGGTATTCATCTCAGCATTATTGCTGCCTCCAGCACCACCTGTGTAAGTGCTCTCACTCTGCAGGCTGTTCTGTAAGGGTTGGTTTTCAATGAGATTCGTTTTGTATTCAACATGCCCTTGGTTTGTGAAAGTCAGAGAAACCCCCTGGGACCTTAACTGAACTATGAATTCCTTAAGAGCAGAGACCCTGTTTTATGTATCCTCAGCACTTAGCACAGTGCCTGCCAGCATTTGACAGTTGGTGTCTAAATGAATGAATGACCATACATTTTCGAGGGAAAATAACATTGCAGTCTAAGAACTCTGCTACTCAAAAGTGTAGCCCACAGACCAGCAGCATCAGGATCACCCAGTAGCTTGTTAGAAAGAAATTCTCCAGCCTCACTGCAGACCTATGGATCAGAATCTGCATTTTAACAAGATGCCTAGGTGATTTGTGTGTACCTTAAAGTTTGAGAAGTGTTGGCCTGAAGGACCCTACAGTTTCTAGCCTTCTTCAGCCATATTTGGAATGAGGAGTGCCCAGTTTGATATGTTCCTCAGAGTATGTGTTTCACAAATTGTTCAGGGACAAATAGTGACTTAGTCATCTGTGCTTCACCAGAGAGCTTTCTGGTGTCTCTGCATATAGGGACCTAATCCTGTTGGATCAGGGCCACACCCTTCTGACCTCATTTAACCTTAATTACTTCCTTAGAGGCCCTGTCTCCTGTAAAAAAACAAAACTGAATACATCTTAAAGGTCTTATTGGCCTTATTGAACAATTCATGAATCAGGCAGCATCCGAAGAGAAATAGAAAGAGGCTCCAAAAAAGTGTACAAAATGAAAGACTTTTTTATGCAGAAAGCAGGTGGGAGAAGGAAGGTATTAGCAAAGAGTAGATTGTTTCGAACAAGGTCACCTTCCTTTGGGGGGGTGGCAAGGTTCTCTCAGGCAGACTGCCTCACTAGGTAATTCCTGACCAGGTAATTCCAGATTGACTGGTTTAAGATTCTACTCCTGGGAGAGGCTGAAACTGTAATTAAGACACATATTAAGTCTCGGTTTAGTGACATGGGCTGAGCACAAGTAACTCCATTTTGGGCCTGTTGTCTCTTTTTTTAACACTTCAAGTATAGTGACAGTGGGGTTTGGGACTTCACCATATGAATTTGCTGGGAGGACACAATTCAGTCCATTACAGTGATCATAATAAAAAAAACTGATCATGTGTAAAGTGCTGTCTGCCCGATTTGGGGGAGGAGGGCAGTGAAACCTCCCTTGGGCCATTGTGTGCCCCTCATCTCATATACTTTCCATGGCTGCCCTATGAACCAGGTAGTGTTACCCCACTTCACAGATGAGGAGCCAGAAGCTCCTTGAGGTTACATAATCTTCCCAAGCTTTCACTGCTAGAGCTGGATAAAAACCCAGGTTCTTCTGTCTCAAAAGGCTTCTTCCCTACCCAAAAGGGGGACATATATTTAATAAAAGAAATTTCGTACTTGAACATCTCCATGGTGGTTTTAACTGCCACTTTCAGTTTTCCAGAGCCCATCTGTTCAGGTGACAGAGCCAGTACTGCAAATGGTGTTCCAATGAGGGATTAAAATTCCTAATAAGAGGAGGGTGTTTTATCTTGATGACAGGCCTCTCAGACTCTAAAAATGCAGAGAGTTGGATGCTTGGCTCAACTGGAGGACCTGTGGCCTCTAGAATCTCAAGACCAGGCTGTGTCGAGTGACTAGGATCTCATGGCTAAATGTGGGAGCCTGTGTGTACAGTCCTGGAGGGCTTTTTCCCCCACAGCCTCACTCCAACATGTCCCCACAATTTTCTAAAAGATATGGCACTTTAGGCTAAAATTTTAGAATGGGTGTTTCAGGTTCCGTGGGCTCTCAATTTCAGGGGCTGTAGTCACTGATCAGACCTGATGAAAAGGTTGGTAAGACCCCAGGCTCTGCTCGCCAGGAGAATCTAGTGGGGGGAGAAATGCCAACAGGCAGTCTGATAAATGTGGTCGATGCTCGCTCTGCCGGGGGTAATGTGCCCCACAGCGGGCACCACGGTAGCAGAGCCTCACACTGCAGCTGGCAAAGACAGTGCACTTCATGGTAACCAGTGCTGGGCTCAGTGCCAAGTTTCCAGTGTTCCTATACTTTGAGTCCCAAAAGTCAGAAAACGTGGGTACCCAAGCCACGCCCGCTGAGAACACCAAATCCCAAGGGAGGGCTTCTTGGATTTGAGCTCCTGGATACAATGATGCGGCACATAATGACCTTTCCATCAACAACAGACCACATATATGACAGTGGTCCCATAAGGTTAGTATCATATAGCTGAGGTGTGTAGTAGCCTATGCCATCTAGGTTGTGTAAATACACTCTGTGATGGTCCCACAACGACAAAATCGCCTAATGACACATTTCTCAGAATGTATCCCTTTCCTTAAGGGAGGCATGATGGTAATGCGTCCTTGCCTGCTAGGGAAATCCAGGTGGGAGGGAGCAGGGATCCCTGGCACTCTGTGAACTGTTGCATTTGACCTGGCTCTTTGGAGCCTGCCACCTCTGTGAGGAGACACTTTATTAACAAGTGGCTTACAGCGATTTTTGGAGTTTGGGTCAGAATTCCACCCAGCTCTGCTCTTTATTAGCAGTGAGACCCTCAGCAAATTGCTTGATCCAGGGGTCACAGACTGGCAGCCAGGGTCTCTGTCCTGCCAGAAGACCCATTTGGGTTGGCCTGGATTGCAGGATATCTTAAGTTGAGAAATTTTGCAGTGAAATTCGGGTTTCTGGCTTCTGTTAAGGAATTGGAAGGTGTGGCTCTGTGGGGCCCACATTCCCACAGAGCAGATCAGGGACGACCTGGGGGCCTCCCCCGTCCCACAGGCCAGGACATGGGCTCCCCAGTTTGTCTCCTGTGTTGGCATGTTCCCCACAGCCTGTCTTACCTCCCGTGGCGTTCTCACTTATACCTCCAGCCTGGCCCCCATAAGCATCTGAGTTTAACACC